CTTACTTTAGTCTCCTGTCCTTTGATTTTAACAGACTAATCACCAGGGAACTTGATATAGCTCTCTCACCAGGGTTTTACTGGCTGGGTAAAGTATTTATGTACTAAGGTAGTAAGGCATTATGCTAGACTCCTGGGAACCTTTCAAAGATGACTAAGATGATTCCTGTCCTCAAAGAACTTACAATCTAGTTGAAGACAACAAACATGCATATAGATATAATACAAAGCAGAATGTGTTGGTAGTTAAAAACAGAGGTACAAAGTCCTATAGGAACAAAGGATGGTGAGATTAATTCTGGTTGGGGTGATCTGGAAGGCTGGGCCAGCAGAAAAGTAGAAAACTCTGTCCCTCAGAAAATGCAGCAGCATTACAGCCCAGCTGGGTTAGGGTCGAAACCCCACTCCCCACAGAAGGTTTTCCTAAAGGAGATGGAGCCAGGGCCCTAACCCAGTTAGATGGCTGATTCGTTGATTTCAATTATGAATGTCAACATTTTCTTTCCCTGGTGTAGATAAATATGTCTTCACAAGTAATTTACTTAAAAAGTAAATGAGATTTAACAACATTAGCCTACATCAATTAGAATCGCCTCACGTGGTACCCTGGTCATACAGGACCAAGAAAAAACCCAACACCACTCAGCTGTTACATGTGGTGCTTCAATAAATGTTTTGCTATATGGATATCCTGGAATGAGAGACAAAGACACAATTCCAGAGAAGTAACCCGAATATTATACTAGTCATATTTTGTTGGAGGTATAATTACTTTTAAATTTTAAAACTGAATTTCAGAATAGGCTAATGAGACAGATCTCTTTTCATCCTGTCATGATCTCAAGGCACTAGTAGGTACAGTGCCAGTTTGCACTACTGCTAGAAATAAAAGGTAGACAAAATAATATAATTAATATGTAGTAATTAACAGGTACCACACGAGGAATCATACTAGGAAAAGGATAATAAATACAAACATTATTAAATACAAAAAGACCCACAGCAAATATCATGAGCACAGAATTAGAAATATTAAGTTTTTAGAAACTCAAACACAAAATTATCAGTGTTTCAGTCTATTGTTACCTTAATACAGTCTTCAAATTTACAGAAAAAATCTCATTCTGCTACAGAAATTTAAAAATTCAGAATTCCATTAAAGTGTCACTTTAATGAACAGAAAAACAACAAAAAGATCTCATATGTTTGCAAAATGCTTAAGAAACTTCAACTGATTATTTTCTTAAATAGTATAAGCATTCTCACTTCACTTTGTCGGATCTTTTTTACACAAATTTTAACAAGGGAGAAAGGAAACAAGAAAGAAGAAAAGGAGTGAGGGAGGGAGGCAGAGTAGGCAGGCCAGAGACATATCTTGACTATCTAGTGTAATCAAGCTATCTCATATAGAACTTTCTTTCAAAGTGCACTTACAATTCAAAAAGACTGATTAAAAGATTGATTAAACTGAGCAAACCATAAAACAAACATGCAGAAAATGTTGTAAATAGTATCTACAATATAAAGAAAGCTCTTTACAGTATATGAAACAAAATCCTAGTAAATTCAAACAATTCATAAGAAAAACAAGCTGCTAATAAACATGAAAAAATATATCTATTTAAGGAAAGTGAATTAAAACAATGAAGCAGCATTTTAAATATTAAATTAGCAGAGACACAACTGATAACATTCAATGGTATAATCCCCTTAAGACATAAAATAACCCCTGCTTTTGTATTTCTTTTAAAATTTTTATTTCATTTAAAATGAGACATGAGGGGAAAAATGCTTCTAAGGGTGTGGTAACATAAAATACTTACATACTGACTTGGAACGATGGCAGTCACTGCAACACTTAATTTATGGAGAATAGATTATTAGATTTTTCTACTTTTCAAGTTCATACCCTTTGATCAGTAATTCTACCACTAGATATCTAAACTCAAAAAGTAATCAGAGATGCAGACAGATTTACATAAAATTTATCACTGTTAAATATAAACTCCAAATTAGAAACAACTGCAATTCTAGGCATTAAATTCTAGGAAAAAGGATCATTTTAAAATTAAATATTATGCAGCCATTATGAACTACCTACTTATTTACTCAGGAGGAAAAGATGAAGCATTGGGTTAAAAAAAAAAAGGATCTATAATTTAATGCAGTCCTAACTGAAAGTATTTTCTTTAAAAATAGACTTTATAGCCTGCTACTTATTGAATTTATTAGTTTTATTAGGTTTTACTGTGGCATCTTTAGATTTGTTATATGTAGGGTAATATTTGGGAGCAAATTAGGTATCTTCCATGTATTTTTCTCATGTTATTTTGTGAACAGAATTTCCAATTCTACATTGTATAAAACTGGCAAAAGTGAGCATTCTTGCTGCGTTCCTTATCTCATATGGAAACCTTTCGTTGTTTTACCATTGATGACAATTTGATACAAAATCAACATGCAAAAATTAATTCCCATTTACTAATAATACCATACCACACAGAAGAACAAGCTACACCAAGACACTAACTTAACCATGGAAGTGAAAAATTTGTGCACTGAAAACTACAAAACATTGCTGAATAAGAAAATGTAAATAGATGAAAGGCATTCTATATTCAACTTACAACTTTTTATATCTGTAAAATTATCTACAGTTTCAAGGCAACCCCAATTAAAATCAAAATGACACCTACCAAAGAACTCCTCCTCAAGTTCATACAGAATATCACAGCATCATAAAGAGCCCAATAATCCAGAAAACAACTTTGAGAACAAATGGTTCTTGATTTCAAATTTGTTACAGTAACCTTGTGCATAGTATTGGCAAACAAAACAAAGCAACCTCATCCCCCCAAATATATATAGAGATAAGCAGAAATCTTTAGAGATCCAGAAACAAAGCTTATATACCTTGTCAAATTACTCACTGAAAGCAAGAGCAATGCTTTTTAACATACATTTATCTGAGGAAATGGGTATTAACATTAAAAAAAAAGGCATGAAGCTGGATCCTTATATCATACAAAACAACTAAAAATGAGTGCAAAAAAAATAAAGCCTTCAAAATGTGATTTACAGCTGGATTTGACAAACACCTTTTTGGATATGATGACAAAGACAGGGAAAAAAAGGTAAAAAAAAAAAAAAAAAAAACCCCAACAACAAAAACAACAATGTGGTGTTGCAGCGAACTAATCCTCTGCCTGTGGCAATGTCAAACCACACAGGTGCCAGTTTGAATCCTGGTTCCTCTGTTGCTGATCTAGCTCCCAGTTAAGGCCTGAGAAAGAACTGGGGATTTAAAGCTTCTGGCTCTCAGCTTTAGACTGGTTCAACATTGGCCCCTGTGGCCATTTGGTGAGTTACCAATGGATGATATCTCTTCCTACTTCTCCTGTAACTCTTTGAAGTAAAATAAATCAATCTCAAAGAAAAAAAAAAAAGTAAAGAAATGCTGTTAAGCTCTACATTTTCAAAAAGGTAAGTAAAAGATTTGAAGTTATTTATTTCTATTTGAAAGGTAGATTTTACAGAGAGAAGAAAAGATAAAGAGAAGATCTTCCATTTACTGGTTCACTCCCTAAATGGCTGCAACAATCAGTGCCAAAGTGAGAGCCAAGAGCTTCTGGTTTTTCCATAGGGCGCAGGGGCCCCAGCACTTGGGCCATACTCTTGCTTCTTCCCCAGGTCATAAGCAGAGAGCAGGATGGAAGTGGAGCAGCTGGGACTTTGGACGGCACCTGATCCCATAGGGTGGAGGATTAGCTTTCTGTATAATAGCTCCAGCCCCAAATTTGTTTGATTTAATCAGAATCATGCCTTTTGTCTGTCAACGGCCAGCATGGACAGAATAAAAAAGTAATGTATGAAGTGGGGAAACTTTGCATATCATATTTGTGATAAAGGATTTGTATCTAGAACACAAAACTCCCTAAAACTCAACGGCAAAAGACCAAACAGCCATTTCAAAAATGGAGCAAGAACAGACACTTCTTGAAAAAAAAATTTTTCTTGCAAACATACCAACAGCCATATAAGCATATGAAAAGATGTTTAATGTCACATTCACTAGAAAAGGTAAATCAAAACTACAGCAAGATTCCACACTACATTTCATAAGGTTATTACTTACTCTTCCCCCGAGGGCACAGAGTGCTGCCACAGATGTGGACAAATTGTAACCCTTGTATACCACTGGTAGGAATGTAATATGCTGCATTACATGCACCATAAAAATCATCACCTTTAGATGGATAAAATCATCATCTTTATTTTGCTATTTGAAAATTCCTATCTAATCCATAGATCCTGGTATCATTTTCCTCTTTTATGCTTTGTTTTCTATTAAAAATGTTATGCTTCAACTCACTTAGTTTTTGTCTTTTTAACTTCATAATCTCCTTATACATTTAAAACCACAGTCAAGGAAATAAACACATTTCACTGTTCTAATCATAGAAAAGGATTAACATGACTATCCTTGTAACAAAATTTGGTAACCTTTATAGCTTTTATTATTCCTTCATGAGATTTAAATCATTAAATGTGTTCAAATCTGTTATTTTCTTAAATCTATGTTTACATGAAGTAATTTACCCATTACCTTGAATATATAATTATACACTTAACACCTGTTATCATCCACAATGATTCACAAATAACAAATCAAGAAAAATCATATACTACTGAATATATAAAGCATCCCTATCTTTCATTTTTAAAAATTCCACATTACATACAAACTAGGCAGCTATCTCCTAGCAGCCAGTCCTTAATCCAGTTTGATTTCACCTGATTGGATAGAAGAAACTGTGGATTATTTATGATGAAAGACAACTGAAAAACATGTAAAGCTGCTTAACAAAATGAATTGTTTTGAAAATTCTGCCAGATACTTTGTAGATTCTACAGGAATATTAACTCACAACCAGCAATATAAACCCATATTAAATGTTTAAAACAACTGAAAATGCTTAATGAAACAAAAACAGATCTTACCAATGCAGGCCACTGAATCTGCTTGCTCTTTGATCCCTGAGTCTGACTAGGGTCATTCCTTTTGGCCCAGATTAAGTGGTATTCCACCAAGAAAGTTGAAAAATCTTCATAAACTTTAACCCACTCTCGTTTATCCCATTCAAGATCATCAAATTCCACATATACCTACGGGAAAAAATAAAATTCCATAAGGACCACAGAAGAAAGCTGAATAAGGTAATAATATACTCATTATTTAAATTAACATACTCCTAGAGTTATTTAATAAATGACTCCCAACCAATTTCTATGCAAGGGAAATAAACCATATTTTCATTAAATAATTACCTGAATGTTGAATAACACAAACTGGTCCATATGTCCTATTCACACACTAGGCCTATTCCAGCAATTACAGAAGCAGAAGTTCAGAAACATATTTTAGGAGTAAAACATTTTTTTATAAATCATATGTTGTCATAATTTCTATCTTTATACTGTCAAACCAGTGACTGACAACATATAAACACCTAAGCTGGGTTTTACGCAAATAAAGCAATTACTGTGCTTAATCAGAAAAATATTATAACTGGTAACACTTCTAACTGCCTAAGTCAATAATTATGAAGACAGAGTATTTGAAAAACTACACAGACTTATGTATGTACCAATGTCATTATCTTAAGAAAGAATATAACGTGAGAAAAGAACCTGGTAAAACATTGTTAGAAATAATTATTTCATAGTAAACATGTCTGTAAACACTTCTGTTATCCCAAGATATCAGAACTCAGAGTTCTAAGAACTGGTCACTAAGTAACTAACACACTATTACATTTATCTCTTTATGTATGCATTGTCTACAAGACAAGTCAATATGCAAAAAGTATGCTTATGTATAACAGCAGGCATTAAAAACAGATACATCAGAGTATCAAAGAATTTACAAAAAAAAATGTCAGCTGTCACGCACTTCACTTTCTATTGTTGCATCCATTCAAATTAACCTAACCTTGAACTCTTAACATACGCTGGCACACATGGGTGCAGCTCCCTGCTAAACTGCATAGGGAAACTTTGGAAAATGGTCAAGTGCTTGGGCCTTGCAGGCACATGGGACATTCGGAAGAAACTGCTAGTTCCGAGCTTCAGAGAGGACCAGCCTGTTCTACTGCAGCCATCTTGAGCAGTAAACCAGTGGAAGGATGAAAGCAACTCTTTCTCTTCCCGTTCTTTTCTGTTAAGTCTGTCATTCAAATAAATAATCAAATCTTTAAAAACTAGAATATTTCCTGTCCTATATGGTTTGATTGCTTAAAAATAACAAACTGATTTCAGTTAGTTTGGAGACATATTCAATTCACGTGCATACTTATTCAAATAAGGATACTAAAAAATCAATTCAGTTTAAATTATACTTTTTACAGTGCTTTTGTTTACGGGCTCTATACACACCATAATTTTTATCTATGTTATATTGTTCATGAGGAAAAAATACTGTATTTCATGTTACTTGGATATGCACAGTAAAATTACAAGCTTGATAAAAACCTCAGTCTAAGAAACCCATTTGAGAAGATAGTTCAGGTTAGTATTATCCAAGTTATTGCCTGAAAACTGTGTATCAGTCACTCATTACTACATCACTGCATTACTACAATACAAATCTTACAATAATCAATATATGAAGAAAGGAGGTGTATTTCAATTTACAATTTTGGAGCTTAGCAGTACAAGACGGGGCAGTACCAATGGCTTAGCGTGTGGTGATACTGTTTTTGTTGTCTTATTTGTCTGTTCTGCTTGTATATTGGCTAGGTCCAAGTAGTTTCTCACAAAAGTCATCAATATTTAATCATGGAGGCCTAACTAGTAACCTCATTCAATCTAATCACCTTCTCACCAAATTAAGTTTCTACCTACCTAGAACTACCAAAATAACGAATCTGGGGGCTTAGTATGATGGCTCAGTGGCTAAATCCTCGCCTTGCACGTGCCTAGTTCATGTCCCGATTGCTCCACTTCTCATCCAGCTCCATGCCTGTGGCCTGAAAAGACAGCTGAGAACGGCCCACAGCCTTAGAACCCTGGACCCACGTGGCAGACCCAGAAGGAGCTCCTGGCTTTGGATCAGTTCAGCTTAGCCATTGTGGCCACTTGGGGAGTGAATCAGCAGATGGAAGACCTTTCTGTATGTAAATAAGATCTGCCTTTCCAATAAAAACAAATAAACCTTTTTGAAAAAGAAAAATTTTTAAAAAATTTTAACAGCAGGTAGTCAAAACATCTCCTGTAACACTTGAGTATATCCTATGAGTGTCCATTCCAATCTCAACTGCTGCATTTCCAATCCAACTCAGTGCTAAATGTTCCTTAAAAAAAGCTGTAGATGGCCCAAGTGCTTGGGCACCTCTCATGGGAAACCTGGTGAAGCCTGGTTACTAGCTGCACTTATTTCAGCCCTGATCATTAGGCTACTGTGGCTATTTGGGAAGTAAACCTACAGATGGCAGAGCTCCTTGTTTCTATAGTTCTACCATTCAAGTGAACAAAATAATTTTTAAAAAACATAAAAGAATTTGGGATCAAACTGGTTCTTTGGGGGACATCCAAAGCTTCATCTCTAAATATTATCACACAGGAAGTTAAGTCTGTGTGGCCTTTAGACCTAATGGCCAGCAGGTCTGGCAAGATTAGCACTGCCAACAACTATTTAGCTATTTAGGACACCTGCTGTCTCCCTAATTCTAGCAACTGCTTAAACAGGAAGTGGGAGAACGGTTGTACAGCCAACTGCAGCCTCAGCAAGGAATCACAGGAAGTGGAGAGCCAGGAGCTGGACTACGCAGACAGTGGTGCAAGTCTACCATAGAGTCTCGAACTAAAACTCGTTGGAGAGAACGGCACAAGTGACTGCAAGCAAAGAACTGTATTAAGTAAACCACAATAAGTAAAATTGAATTGTGGGTGACATGCCCTGAGAAGAAGAATCTGCCAACCAGAAGTACAATGACCAACAGCAAGAGACACAAGCACAACGAATATTACTGAAGACTCCCCTGCAAAAGAGCAAAAGTCTTTTGCCAACCTCAGAGTTAACTGAGGAATACATCGAGAAAATGGGGGATAAAGAATTCATCACACTTGTTATAAAGTTTCTTATCAATGACAAGAAGCACATATTAGCGTTCAAGGAACTTAAAGAGTATGTCACACAGGAAATAGAAACACTGAAACAAAATCAAGTAGAATTATTGGGAATGAAGGGTACAAAGGAACAAATTAACATACACTGGAGAGTCTCCATAATAATGAACCAGAAGAAAGAATGTCAGAATTTGAGGGTATGTCTTGCTACAATGGTAAAATAATCAAAAAGCTGGAAGCAGAGCTGAGTCAAGCCAAAAAAGGTATTCAAGAATTAAAGGACATTATTAAAAGGCCAAATATAAGAATTATGCGAGTTTAGGAGGTGCAGAAAGAGGAGCTGAGCTTAAAAGTGCATTTAATAAAATAATAAAGGAAAATTTCCCTAATCTAGAGAAATAATTGGGAAACAGCATCCAGGAGGGGCACAGTACTCCCAACAGGAGTGACCAAAAGTGATCTTCACCATGACACATAATCAAGTTCTCTTCAATGGAACTTAAGGAAAAGGTCCTTAATGTGTTTGAGAAAAAAAGTCAATTGACCTACAGAGGAATGGCAATTAAGCTCACAGCTGACCTCTCACAGCAAACTACAGGCCAGAAGAAAATGGAGCAACATATTCCAGATTCTAAAACAAAGCAATTGTTGGCTCAGAATAACATACCCAGCAAAGCATTCCTTTGTCTTTGAAAATGAAGTAGAATTCTTTCACAGTAAAGAAAAGTTGAAGAACATGCCTCTCCCAAACCTGCCCTACAAATGAAACTTCAAGATGTTCTCTTGACAGAGAAAAGGAATAGCACCCACCAAAACCAAAGGCATATGTGAAGAACACCCCAGTACAATAACAGAAGACCAAATCAAGCAATGAACAACCCACTGCTAAAATGACAGGTCCAATTTACAACCCACTCATTTTAACCCTGAATGTAAATGGCTTAAACTTCTCAATCAAATGTTATAGATTAGTAGCCTTAATTTAAAAATATATATATATATGTCATTTATATGCTGCCTATTGGAGACACATCTTACCAACAAAGATCAGCAGAAACTATATCTCATGGATTGTTTTTTTAAAGATTTATTTGTTTTTATTGGGAAGTGAGAAATCCGGAAAGGAAGATGTTCCATCTGTTGATTCACTCCTCAACTGGTCACAATGGTCGGAGCTGTGCTGATCTGAAGCCTGGAGTCAGGAGCTTCTTCTGGGTCTCCCACACTGGTGCAGGGTCCCAAGGCTTTGGGCCATCCTCCACTGCTTTCCCAAGCCACAATCAGGGAGCTGGATGGGAAGTGGGGCTACTGGGACACAAACCAGCATCCATACAGAACTGATCCTGGCACAAGCAAGGAAAGGACTTTAGCCACTAGGTTACTGCATCAGGCCCATCTGACATTTTGAATTTTTAAAATTTTCATTTCTTCAGTTTTTCTCCTTGTATTAAATTCTTCATTGACTCATGGCTCATACAGCAGCATCATTTTCTTCAAGAAGATTCTTGATTTTCTTTTTCATTTCTTCAGTAACGCATTGGTATTTTGGTAGGATGTTACTTCAAGGAATTGTGAATTTCAATTTTTCTTCCCATTGTTGATTTTGTTTTGCAGTTTTTCATTTAAGGACATGTATAGTAACTGTGCAATGGAGACTATCATATCCATATGTGAGGATACAATGCAGTATGCATCTTTACTTTCAGATCAAAGATAGACTCCAAAAGAAAGTGTTAAATATAACTTGACACTAGAATGCTGGACTCTCTGCCATTTTCCATGCCTGTAATAATGGACTTACGACTGTTTATGAAGAACTATACTATTGTAACAATACAGGGGAACTCAGTGCTTGGGAAGAGGAAAATTGGGGAAGGGAATAGGGGAAATCTCTAGCCTTTGAAATTGTATAATAAAATAGTAATAATGGACAAAAAACAACAACGAAGCTTTACAAAGACAAATGTAATGTAGGTGTACCTAAGTAAGTTAAAGGAAAGGTACAGTAGCTAAAAATCTAAAGAAAAAATAATGTTAAA